TGTGCATCTCTGGGTGCTGTGGGCCCCACTCTGCATAGGGACAGCGGCCTCTATATTTGGCACATCTTACCTTTCATTCTTGTGAGTTGAATTTTTATTCCTAGAAATGGTAATGTCTGTGAATCTGGGTAATTTAACAAAGTCATAAATATTGGATGAGATACTAAAAGAGCATTCTAATAACCCAGTACTGTAGAAGACTTCTCAGTAGGCTGCTTCTTAGGAACAAAATTTGTTTCTTTTGGGATATAATAGTGTGAACTATTAGGCAAATGAATAACTTGTCTCATTTATTAGCATTATCTTTTGTTTTTTCTTTCCAGGCACATATTAAATTTCCTATTGACTACCCATATTCACCACCTACCTTCAGATTCTTGACCAAAATGTGGCACCCCAACATTTATGAGGTAAGAGACATCTGTCATAACTTTCTCTGTGAACTTTTCAGATTAGTTCTTTAAAAAGAGACTAGGGATTTACCAGTCAAGGCCCTGAGTTTGATGTCACACCACAAAAAAAAAAAAAAAAAAAAAAAAAAAGCAATTTGGGCTGGAGGGTGTAGCTTGTAGTAGAGCATTTGTTTACCATGCACAAGGATCTAGGTTCAGTTACAATACCACCCCCCCCCAATAGAATGTATATCTCAGTAAATTGTGTTTTGCTGTAACCACAGAGACATATTCATGATTTCATACTTTTGTAGTCTCTGGTTTAATTATTTAAAATCAAGGGTAGTTTTATAATATATAGTGTTTATATTCCAGTTAAAAATTGAGGTTTTAGGCCTTTGTAGCTCATTGCTAAGATTATAATGCACACATGCTAACATTTGCATTTTAAAAAATCTAGTAAAGTCATATGTACCTGTGCTCTAACTTTACAGCAAGGGTCACCTGTTGCTGTGGTCAGAGGCTCAGCTTTTTTTGGGGGGGGGCTTTATCCTACTATATTTGGACTGGCCTCTTTTCAGGAGTTACTGTTGAGCATTTGAGAGCCTCTTGGAATAAATCCAAAGTGAAGTTCTGCTGGACAAGTTTAGTGTGCCTGCAGGGAGCATTTCTAGTAGAACTGTTGGCTGAAACATAAACATACTTAGCTTTGGGCTAAATTATGGCAATGCTGGAGTAATGCATTAGCCTAGTAGAGCAGCCTTCTTATTTTTCACAGTTGCCTTTCCTTTTTTATTTATGTTTGAGACCAGCTCTCATAGTGTATCCAATTTGTAGTCCTTGAGCCTCCCAAGTGAGGTTCCAGACATCCACAATTTTGTTATTCTCCACATAGGACAAACATGATGAAAAGATGATATGTGCTTCCTGCCTCCTACAGTTCTTTTCTTTTAGTATTTAACATAATCATAACGCTAAGGACCAGCAGTGGGGCTGGCAGGATGGCTCAGTGAGGAAAGGTGCTCGCCACCAAGCCTGACAGCTCTCTAGAACCCACATAGGGGAGGGAAGGAGAGAACTGACTCTATACATGCCATGGCACTTTCCTCCCCCATCCCCAATAAATACATCCATGTCAACAAAAACAAGAAACAATCAGCATTGTGGCACATACCTTTAATCCCAAGAAGAGGAAGGTGGATCTCTGAGTTCAAGGACAGCCAGGGCTACTACAGAGAAACACCCTTCCTTCCTTCCTTCCTTCCTTTTTTGCTTTTCAAGACAGGGTTTTTCTGTGGCTTTGGAGGCTGTCCTGGAACTAACTCTTGTAGACCAGGCTGGCCTTGAACTCACAGAGATCCGTCTGCCTCTGCTTCAAGAGTGCTGGAATTAAAGGCGTATGCAACCAACGCCCGGCAAAACCCTATTTCAGAGAACCAAAAAAAAGACCTTTGATTATAGTTCACTAAATAGTTATTGCCCAAAATATGTAAACTTTACTGTAGTATTTGTGAATTTAATTATCTAAAAAAATACCATATTTGTGAAACTAGTAAAGATGAAGGAGAAACTTGTAGACTAATAGAAAATTAGTTGGGGCAGTTAAGAGTGCATAAGCCAACTGGGCGTTGGTGGCACACGCCTTTAATCCAAGCACTCGGGAGGCAGAGGCAGGGGGATCTTTGTGAGTTCGAGGTCTACAGTGTGAGTGCCAGGATAGGCTCCAAAGCTACACAGAGAAACCCTGTCTCGAAAAACAAAACAAGACAAAAAAAAGAGTGTATAAGCCTGGTAGTGGTGGTACACATCTTAATCCTAGCACTCAGGAGCCAGAGGCAGGCAGATCTCTTGTGAGTTCAAGGCCAGCCTGGTCTCCAGAGTGAGTGCCAGGATAGGCTCCAAAGCTACACAGAGAAACCCTGTCTCGAAAAACCAAAAAAAAAAAAAAAAAAAGATTTGTTTTTTTTTTTTTGTTTTTTTTTTCTTTTTTTTCTTTTTGGAAATAAAATCTTGCCTTGTAGTCCAGATTAGTTTCCAACATGTCATCTTCCTTCCTCACTTTCCCCGGTATTGGGATTGTAGGCAGAAACTGGATGCCCAGTTATAATCAATAGATTTGACAAAAATGACACCATGTTCATTGAGTGTCATCTTTCTGTTGTGGTGATAAAGGTTATTTGTCTTGCATATTCTAGATTCCTGTCCATCAAGGGAAGCTGAGGCAGAACTGATGTAGAGGCAGTGGACAAAGTCTGCCTTCTGGCTTGCTCAGCATGCTTTCTTACACAATTCAGGACCACTGCACAGGGGTGGTCCTACCCACATCCACATTAATCGGTGACCAAGAAAATGCCCCAAATATATGTCTGCAGATAAATTTGATAGAGGCATTTTCTCAATTAAGGTTCCCTCTACTCAGATGATCCTAGTCTGTGTCAAGTTGGCATAAAAATTAGTACAAGTGGGAAGTAATGGACTCAATAATAGTTGGATTTCCCAAACAACATCAACAACAAAATGATTTTGGATTCCTACTTAATAAAAACCTGTTCAAAAACTGCTGAGGAATATACTCAATAGGCAGAGGTAGGAGGACTGCTGTGTTTGAGGCCAGCTTGGTCTGTAAAGTTCTTTAAAGAATTAACGTAATTGAAAAGTAGCCAAAGTTAGCCACAAGTGTGTACTTAAGAGGCCAAAGCAGGAGGATTACTAAACCCCAGGGGTTTGAGGCCCGTATGGGTAGCAATGGGTTGGAGAATATAAAGAGAACCCAACAATGAACTGAAATACACATCAGACACAGTGAGACTTCACACCAACACAGTATAGCTGTATATGAATAACAAAAAACAAGAACTGGTAAGGCTGTGAAAATCTGGAATTGCCCCACACTGATGGTGACTCACAAATGGTGTACATGCTATTAGAAAAAAGGCCCATGGACGATAAACACATGCCTCACGTCTAACCCCACAGTTCCAGTCTAAGGGAAGAGAAGCAAATACTCAGCACAGGATAAACACAAGTGTAGAGAGGCACGCTGTTCACATACAACCCCATTGTTCACCAACAGAAACTACAGCACAAGCTCACCACATCCGTGGAGTTGGCATAGTTTGAAGCACCTGCTACAAGGTAGAGGGAACTCTGAAACATTCAACTAAGTGAAAGAAGTCAGAAAAAGGTTGCATATTGTATGTTTCCATTTGTATTAAAGGTTCAGAGTATATAACGTACTAAATGTAAAAGCAAGTTGG